AGGGGATGCTAGAGGGGAAGTGCAATGATCGGTATTGACGCTGCCTTCAAGTGTTCCCTATAAGCTTTCCGTTTTAAGGTTGGAAATTATAATATGGTCTTGTATTGTCGTTTTTCACATTGAGGTGCTCGTTATAATTACATTAGTTCTATTGCACTTTAGCTATGTAATAAACAACCGTGCAAATTCACAAGGTAAAGCAGTAACATTAAATTTTAGACAAAAGTCCAATATATATATAAAAAAAACACAGTATGAGGTTCATTTAACACTTAACCAAATATGAACTGCTCTGAATGTTATCTCTTTAATGCAACAACGACCCTTCTACTCTATTTGTCTTTTAGAAAATCAATGTGTTTCCCATTTTATCGTTGTTTTCACAAGTGCGCTCAGTTATACATTTCCATATTTCCATTGAAGGCAACATACCTCAAGCGAAAGAGGAAGTAGCCAATCAGAGCGCAGCTTTTTCCAACAGGCAAAACGTATTAGCGATTACTGAACTGAACCAGGAGAGGGAGTCATTGTATCATCGGTCAGGAGTAGGCAGTGCCAATATTTGCCATAACTGTGAATTTTTAGATTTTTTTTATTAAAGACACTACGGAGCATTATAACAAACAGTTATACGTGTAGAAGAAATGCATATTTTAGCCGTAACTTCTGTAATTGTGTATCTAAGACTGAAAACTACCTGTATTCATATTCTTATGTGAACTTGATATAAGATAGCTATACGTGTGTGTTGAGACATGCGTAGGTACATCAAATTGTTATCTGTGTGAGTTGCAACTTTGTAGAAAGCCTTTTTAAGTACAGTCTCAGTTAAGACTGATGGAGAACAGTCAGCGGCACTAACTACTTCCTGAGTTTAGGGAAGGGGCTTGGTCCCGTGCCTGCGCCCCGCGAACGCGCATCAAATTAGCATCGATGAAGTTTGTGCGAACATGGCGGATTTCCTGCCGACCAGGTCCGTGTTAAAAGTTTGTCTACCCGTCTGCCTGCTCAACAGCGGCGAAGTAGAACAGCTCCGAAAGTCCAAGGAGATCGACAGATGTATCTCTCGGGAGAAACCGTACGTGAAACGGCTGGTAAAGATCCTGCTGCTAGGCGCTGGCGAGAGCGGCAAATCGACTTTCCTCAAACAAATGCGGATCATCCACGGGCAGGACTTCGACCAGCGAGCCCGAGAGGACTTCAGAGGCACGATTTACAGCAACGTTATCAAAGGTAAACCCGCTGCTATCGGTAGCTACACAAAGAGAGGAAATAGACAGTTTTACTGCGACAGAAATGCCTTAGAAAGGCGCTTAAAATGGATGGGAAAGTTTCCACATCTGTTTAGTAGCTAGGGCTGGGTGAGAGGACACATAAACAGTCTCCCTCTGCTGTCGGCACACCCATATGAACCGCGTTTCTGCTCAGATTGCCTTTGTTAAAGAGATCATAGCCGTTTATACAAAACACTTTTTATTTTTTTGTCATAGCTATATACAAGCCAGCAGTTTTAAAAATCCTTAGGCAGGTTTTTTGAGTAACTTAGAGATGTAGCTAATGGAGGGTGAGCTGCCCTGTGTTGAAATGTGTTCCTGTTCGGTACATGGAGGGCACTAAATAACAGGGACATTTTACCATACAGTATATTCAAAGGTCTGCAAATTACCTCTAAATTGCCATAAAGAAGGAATCACTATTTATCAGTGGTCCCAAAAATGTAAACGTTAAATAAATCTTTATAAGCTTAATATATAGTAGCATTACTATAGTGTTGTGCACATCTTGTAAGGTAAAGTGTTATGATAATTGTGTCCCCCTTCTGTGCATGTTTCAGATTATAGCTGCAGTGGTTTTTCAAATCATTGAAAAATCAGCAGAGTAATTGGTAATTACTTGAAGCCCTGCTTATAATATGATGATACCTTAAAATGTTTTTCCCCGTTCTGTTATATATTTCTTATCAGATAAAACAGGTTTGTAGGGCGCCAGTGTTGTGTTACATATGGTTGGCACCAGTCTTCCACTTGTAGGTTTCATTCACATCTGGCCTGCTAGATTTTCAGGAACTCCCAACTGGCCTCTCTGAAAGTGATCTCTTCATTTCCTCTCCAGGTATACGTGTGTTGGTGGATGCTCGGGAGAAGCTGCACATCCCATGGGGTGAACCGGACAACCAGCAGCATGGGGACAGCCTGATGGCTTTTGACACCCGGTCGGCTAAGATGGCTGGTGGGCAGCTGGAAACGTCTAACTTTATGCAGTACCTGCCCGCCATAAGAGCTCTGTGGCAGGACTCGGGTATACAGAACGCTTACGATCGTCGCAGGGAGTTTCAGCTGGTAGGTGGATGTGATAGAACATTACTGAGAGATTTTTGTAACAACTAACACTGATAACGTCTTTGATTTACGTGTCTCTAGTACACAGTCTCCAAATGCAATACAGGTTTTCTGGTGTTTCAGTTGGGCTTTTTCAAAAAGGCAGAAGAAAACGGCAATGAAAAGTGAAACTGATTTTCTTCTTAATTCATCCTCCCTTTCCTCTCTCCCTGTATCTCTCACTCTGATTTCTTTCTCTCTCTCTCTCTCTCTCTCTCTCTCTCTCTCTCTCCAGCAGTCAGACATGTGATTGACTCAGCTTCCTGTTTACACCTCTCCCTGTTCTTATGTCTTGGCTGTCAGTGTGCACTTTTTAACACACTGATGTTTACCCTTGAATACCAGCTGCGGTCGATAGTATGTTCACATGTCCTTTCTGTGCTCTTACTTTGTTTAGTATCACTTTCACAACCTGCTGGAATTTTTAAGAATATCTAATTGCATTGCCTTGTACTTGCTGTCAGGTCACGTCAACCTTTCCACATTGT